ATGTATGGTTTTCTTTTCATATTTATCTTATTGTTCTCTTACATCAACATCTACTCAGAAAAAGTCAATTATAGTCAAATTTAACAATTTTGTAATTTATAGTTCATTAGATAGAGCAAACTATATACTCTCGAATTTACTATAGTTTATTGATGTCATGATAAGATTTAAGTATATTACATAGGTTTTTCTAAACCTTTATACCGAAGAAAATAATATCTTTTTCTAAAAACATTAAATTTTAAAGCTTCTCTATTGACTTTTGGCAGTGATGAGCACAGATATCATGCATAGTTAAGTATGATAAGTCAATACAATACTAGAACATAAAAATCCACAGAATGAAATGAAGATGCGGGCGCACTGAAGACTTACAGTCACACCGGTTTTCGTACGGCCCTGCTTTCTCCGCTATTTTAAACGCTAGATTGATGGGCTTGGTGAAAAAATGAACACAAAAATATGCTCTACAAAATCACCAAAGCCGGGTTTGTCGATTTTTCTGTATTTTATCAGAGAAGCTTTCGAGAAAAGCAAACTAGGACAAAATGGAAAATTAGACTCTAATCAGTTGCAACATCACGGTTATTTGAAATGGCAGAAAAATTTGAGACGAACAGTAAATCTTTGTCAAGTTGATCATGAATTCAGACTAGAATCTGAAAATTTTCTGTTAATCGGGTTCGGATTCGAGAATTTTGGATCCGACTGTGTGCTAGTCACCAAGTACAAAGACTGAAAAAAATATCTCGTATCTTCTAGGCGACTATTCAATTCCGATTAGAAAATTTCGGTGAAAATACAAAAGTACGATTAGACCGGGTCCGAAAATTTAGAATCCGATGCGCTCTAACGCGTGGACATATAATTATATTTTGATTCATACTCTATAGACAACTCTTCATTAATTCAATGTATTCAACTGGAACTCTTACTGTGGGATGCCTAACTCGAGATATACCTCGTCTCAAAATCTCATCAAGATTGAATGGTAAAAATAAAAAATTATTCCTTTGAAGGGACTTCTCGTAAGCATCAGCTTATGATCGATTTTGATTAAAAATTGTTCCTTGAAGAAATACATCTATCTGCGTTGATGTATTCACGAAAACAAAAAACAAAAACAAAAAAATTCAGTCATTGTCTTCCAATGATTGTATTATTACTAAACATATATGTTGGATAATTATTCATCATTGTTGTTTTTAATGTTTTTATATAATCAATAAGTTCATTTTGTAAATTTTCATTTTCTTTTAATAGAGGATCTTTATCTTTTGTTGATGTACGTCGTCTTGAACGTCTTTCAATATTTTTCGTTAATTCAATATTCATACGATGTAGTTTATCTAATTCATTATCAAGTAATGTAATACGTTGAAAACGATTACGTGTTTCATCGTCCAATAATGATTGATCGATTGAAGAAAGATATTGTTTATATAATTCATCAATTGATTTTGATGATATAGAATTATTACTGACATTTGAAAGAGTATTATTTATTATTATTGAATTAGTACGAGGAACAATTGGTCGATCAAATTTTGTTGATATATCATTTGCTAAAGTTTGATTAGAATTTGTTGACATCGTTAAATTAGTTACAGTTGATATTTGTCGACGTCGAGGGTCTATAGAAAAAAAAAATTTTTCATTGATACATTAAATTTATTATCACCTCGATTAACTGATTGATCAGGTGTAGGTATTATTGTTGGATCAAGTCCATAACTTTTACTAAGAAATGTAGCAAAATCTTGAGCATTATTTACTAATTGTTGTTGCGGTTGTTGTTGTTGTTGAACTTGTTCAATATTTTGAGGATTAGCATTAATTAATGCTTGAATTAATTGTGAATTAAGACCAAGTGTTTTAAAAAATTCAAGCACACCATTTGTTGGTGTAGATTGTTCTTGTCTTAAAGGTTGATTTACAGTTATTGGCGATGATATTGTATCAGTAGTACTATCAGGTCGACGAATTTCAGAACGAGATCGATCACGATTACGAGGATCACGATTGTGATTTAATTCATTATTTATTGAAGAACGATGATAGGACATTATTTATAAATACTAATGTTCAAAGTATTGATTGTCAGTCAGCTGATGTTCGTTCGATGAATCATGCATTTATGTATAGAAATAAATAAACAACCAACGAAATATCTAACGAAAGATGGTGCGCTTAGACATTCATTGATCATTGAGTACCTATAAAATACAATATGAAAACTTTTAATTTATATAAGGCATCGTTCGTGCAAAAGTCGCAAAAAAAATTAGACTTTGGTGAATTATACATTAAGTAGATAGAGTTCATGATCCTGATTACGAACACATAGCTTTTAATCTTTTCAGATCGTGTTGTAGGTAAGAAATTTCAAAAGAAACATATATATCAGGGAAAACAAACGATAGCTATGTCTCGTGAAAACCAANGTGGGAAGAAACTGTCGAAAAAATATTCAAAATCATTTAAGTTTAAAATTTCAAAATATCCAGTTCTTTATCCAAATTTTTATATTCTTTGAATTTAATAGTAATAGTGACAGGTAGACTCATGAGAACATCCCTTCACGTATCGAATTGCTTTTCGCCCGAGACAATATTCATTTCATAAGTAATAAAAAAAGTCTGAAATGGTTTAGCTTCTCGAACTTTCGTTCTTGAGATATCGAAATTTTCCTATATTTTTTCGTCGGTATCATATCACATGGAGAATTAACTGCACACACACAGTTCTCAATAAAATAAGTTCATTGAACAAGATGTAATTTTTTTTAGCATCTTCTATCCTAAGATATTGAACATTCAAAATTCTTTCATGTATAAAAGTGAATTTTGTTTATTTATATATTTACATTTCTAGAAAGAAAATAATAGAAAAGATAAAACTTACACAATCAACTCATTTCATGAAAAACTTTGTTCATGCAAAGTTTGAAGTCGAAAGTCGATTTTGCACGTAACCTGAGGGGGACGAAAAACCGAGCAGATTTTCAATATCTCAAGAACGAAGACTCGAGAAAACTAAGCCATGCTAAACTTTTCTATTACACACTAATACTTATGAAATTAATACAGAATCGGTTAAACAGTGATTTGACGTCTGAAGACGTTCTCGCATAAGTAGAGCCTATTGGATGCAAAAATTTTTGGACCCAGACCAACCCGACACACTCTAGTCATGAGCCTCTTTAGTCTCTCTGCGATATCATCATTTGACTTCTATAGTATTAGTAGACCTTATTTTGATAATTACTAATAGTTTATTACAGGCACTATCGATTGATAAAATATTTTATTTTCCGACAAGATTCACTGCTTCAAACCATCATGTTTTGTTTTTGTTTTTTGATATAAAAACTTGTCAATATACACTCTTTAAAAAAAAAATCGCTAATAATTTGACAAATACTTTTTTAAACACAATTCTCAAAGTAAAATCTATTCGAAAAAGGTTATTTGTTATACTTGAACGTATCATAATATGATAACGTTGCTTGTTTGTTTAGTAGATATGTTTTTTTTTTTCTATTTGAAAGAAAATAATTCATATAAAAACTTCACATCAGTGACGCTTCAATATGTGTATTTTTATTTATCGAGATCCTCAAAATAGTTCTTGGTGTTCGCATAAATGTCATACGATCTATCATCTAGTTATATCACTAAGCTTTTTAAGCAACTGAAAAATGTTTTTTTGTTTATTGAATAATGTTGTCCATTAATTAATATTTCTAAATAGCTTTTGCTTGAAAACTTGACCTATATAAAAAATATATAACCGTCAGCTGACGTTATTGTCAATCGAGAAAATATTATTACTTATTACTAATTGAAAAACTTTCATGAAAAGAAAAATTGTTTCTTTTCATTTTGTGGTTGTTGTTGCTTCGTTTAGAAATATTTAAGTACATGTGTTTAAAGTGTCAACAGGCATCTGTGCTGTGATTTACTATTTCTTAGAGTATCGGCTGATTTGTTAGAAATCATCATCGTGGATGATTGGCGTTAATTGCTGTTGTGTTGTCAGTGATGATGTATAGTTAAATGAAGGAGAGAAATTGATCGTTATCTGGCTTGTTAATCAAGTGCTCTTGCTCTTTTTCTTTCTATTCTTCTATTTTGTTTTGTTTTTTTTTTGACCAACGACGAGAAAGAACGAAAGGCACAGAGGAGTTAATCGGATGATGATTGTCTATCAATTGCCTTTCAATTAGCTTTCTGCATGACCTTTAGACGCGACGATAGTCAAATGAATTAGTATGAATGATAAACGAGTGTCATTTGTTGAGTTAAGAGATAAAGTCTAACGGACAGTTGCAACATTTTCTTGTTTATTAACCAGAGAAAAAAATAATGATGAGAACAAATCTGTATTGTCAAAATATGGGCGGCGTATGATGATGACGCTGATTGTTTATTGATCGACACCCATTAGAGAAAAAACGACAAGACAGGCGTTTTCTTTTTTTTTTCTGTAACAACAAAAACCCTATCATCACATTCTTCTTACCACCCGTTGTGTACGCATAGCGTGTTTTGTCATCAAATAGTGTCCGTGATTAACTTGTCAGTTAGTGACAGGAGACTAACTGAAATAGATTTCTTAAACATGTATAACAGATCGATCGATAGAAATTTTCTTTTTCTTTTCTGTCTAAAACCGAGGTGATTGCATGTCACTAATCGTTTTTTCGGTCGAAAGAAGAAGAAGAAGAAGCTGTGACAACATTCAAACTCATTTGATGTATATTATAGGCAACATAATCCAGCAATCATCGATAGAATAATACTAGTCAGGCGACGAATCAAGCTGTGTATATGATACAATTCAGTTTTATTCGTTGAGAAAAAGGAAAAATAATATACACATACAAACTGTTGCTGGTTTTTAAATAGAGAACGCTTTTCAACAAAACAAAAAAAAAAAAGAAAAAGAAAAAAAAAGATAAAGAAAACAACACTGATTATTATAATTATTCAATTCAATTATTTCGGACTTGTTGATTGTGGTGAAGTCATACGTGGAGCTGATGATAATAATGGTGGTAATGTACGAGCAAATAATTTTGAAAATGGATGTTGAATCATTTGTGTTGGTAATGGAATTGTTGTTCGTCGTTGTAAAAAAAATGTTTCATACCAATCATTTGCTGTTAAATTTGTTGGTATTGGTGGGAGTGTATTATTGTTATTGTTATTATTATTACCTTGTAAGAACCAATAAAGGTGTTGAGGATTTATATTTGAATTAAACATTGCTAATGGATCTGATTTAATAATTTCATCATTTGTTGTTGCTATTGTTGATGATGGTAATTTTGAAGATTTATTTATAGTTGTTGTAATTTCATCTGAACTATTACTAATACTTGTTGCACCAGCACTGTTCGATCTTTCACGTTTAACTCTTTTAGTTGAATCAACATCAGTTGTATTATTTTCATCACCACCACCCTCATCATCATCATCATTATCATCATGTTCTCGTTTATGATTGGCTAAACGTAATGCTGTTGCAGCAGCTTGTTGTTGTTGTTGTTGTTGTTGTTGTTCATAAAGATAATTTCGATATTGAAAATAATGTGGATGTGCATATGGATGATGCCGTAGTGGATGATGAACTTGAGCTTGTGCAGCAGCAGCAGCAGCAGCAGCAGTAAATAATAAACTATGTAATGGAGTTTCTTCTGCTTTAGTTGAATTATTATTATTATTATTATTTGTTGCTGATGTTGTTGTTGTTGTTGTTGTTGTTTCATCAACACATATATCACTATCATCGGACTCATCCTGATGTGTATGATGATGACGATGTTGATGATGATGGTTATGATGATGATGGTGATCATTAAGCATAATACGTTTTTTTTCTCGTTTACCTTGTCCATTATCACGAAAACCTTTTGCAAATGGATTATGATCAATTTTAAGTTGAGTAATCTAAAAAATAAGAATTCATTTTTTTTCTTTTTTATTAAAATAAATTCTAATTTTAAATATATATACTTTTTCATTTTGATATGCAGTTACAGCAATAAATTCTGTTTCTTTAAATATAAATGTACGAAATGGACACCAACCTAAATCAACTATTGAATCTGTACGTGCTATATGAAAACGTGGTTGATATTTATGCATTGAATTTAAAATTGTCTAAATAAAAGAATATGAAAAAAAAAAAAAAAAGAATATTTTTTTTTATCATTTTTTTTTCTTGTATGAACATACAAATCCATGTTTATCTGATATATTATTGGTTAATTTAAGTTTATGAAATGAAACAATTTTTGACATCCATTGTTCGCCTGTCGCTGGTGAATCAGGATGAATATACATACGTTTAGGCATTTCTGGATCAGCCTATGAGAAAAAAAGGTACAAATGACTATAATTGAAAATTTAAAATAAATTTTTTTCGTTTTACTTTTCCAGCAATCATCCAACGTGAATTATGAAATTTATATCGACAATCATCAGCAGCAACAATATCCATTAATAAAATATATTTTGCTCGTTTATCAAGACCTGTTGTTTTAACTTTATAAGGTGGAAACATACGTCTATAAAAAAACCATTAAGTCATATTTATATATTGATGAACCTAGATTTGTATCCGCCCTTCTTAAGAGACATACACATACATACGTATATGTATTCTAATGTGTCATTTAACAATTTGTTAGTATCTGGTTTTTCTTCTGACTGCCATTTATTTAGATATATATAAACATACTAAAGGATGCGATCGTCCCCATTAGCTGAAAAGTCACAGCTGCTTATTTTGCTTTCTTTTTTGTCATTTTTTTTCGTTGTTATTGTTTCTTTAATTTATTTTGTGGCGAGATCTTCATTTTTTTTTTCTTACTTTATAATCCTTTGAATAAGACAAAGCGAAAAGGATTGACATTTGGGCGATAGATAATTATAGAATCAAAGCCTCCACGGACGAGATGCAAACATATATATACACATCACTAAATGAGCGCTTTTGTGAGAAACGAGAAAGAGTGTTTATCGGGGATTATCAAGCTGGAGGTCTCTCTCTCTTCTTAGAATATTGAAAGAGAGAAGAAGGGGCGGAGGAGTGTTGATTAAAGAAGACAAAAGGATGTTTTCGTGATGATAATAAAATCAATAAAAGAAAAGAAAATGTTTTCTATTCGATTAAATTTCAATTTTTATTCGTTTGACTAATCTTTCTAATTGTAAAATGAGATGAGATAAAAATTTTTCTTTTGTTACTTTTCTTTTTCATCATATACATATATATAACATGCATAAGTTTCATATTTTCAATGTCTTCTTTTATTTCGATGCATACACACACACTCCAAAAAAAGAAAAAGAAAAAGAGAAAAAGCGTCATTTACGAGTGGAGTCTTTTTATGCGCTTCACCTTTTTCTTAAGTGACACGCCTTAAAGTACAGAAATCTGATAAATTCTACGTACCTTCCACTTTTTGTGATTACCTAAACCGAACAAAAAAAAACAGCATATGAAATTTTCTTTCTATTCAACAAAAAAGAAATCTTTGTTTTTTGCTTTCTTAAAACTCACCATTTCAGTTCCATGTTGATGAAATTGATCCCATAAATCTTTACTTTCAAGTTCAACTTTTGGATCATCATGTATACCATCATCTTGTGAACGATGTATTGGTTCGGGTGGTGGAGGTGGTGGTGGTGGAGGTGGAACTAAAAGATCTCTTGGTGTTGAAAAACCAAGTGGTCGAAATTTATTTAAAAAATGAAGGTAATTTGCTGTAACATTAGCAGCAATATTTGTATTAGTATTAGTAGATGTATTAGTGTTTGATGAATTGAGTAATGATGAAACAGTGAAATCCGATTTTGGCATTGTCACTGCTGACATTCTTCGTGTGTATGTATGCGTATATGTTGTAGTGTCGCGCTTTTTTGTGCTTTGCTACCACCCAATAATTACTCGGGCGGCGTCGGCGAGTTGCTAACTCGTATGTTCACACTCTCTCTTTTTCTCTTTTCTCGCATTTCTATTCGTCAGTTTTTTTTTCTTCTTTACTGTTGCCTGTTCTCTTTCTCTTTCTCTCTTTTTCTTTTCGTTGCTTTCTTTTGATTGATACTGCTCGTAACACATGATGTGCGAGCGAACGAACAAGCGAGCGACACTCTCCACACCATTATGACACTCGGAACAGACCGGAGGCCTCTCACGCATATAATTAAACTACTGTTTCTTTCTCTCTCTTCCCGTTCTCTTATTTCTCTTCGTTCGCTAGCTAATCACGGCGCCGTCGTATATTTATGGTAATTTTTTCTGCCAATCCCTGAGCGCGAATATGCGAGACGTTTGTGCTCGAAGAAAAAAGAAAGAGAAAGAAGGAGGAAGAGCAACGAGCGCTAATTTGCTACTACCGCCGGTGCAATGTTGTGTGTGTATATGCGCGTCCAAAGCCGATTAGGTCAAAATGTTAAGTTGATCCAGACGACATGATTTCTCACTCAAATCGAAGATTCAAATTGACGTTGCTGTTTACTATGCCTATTTAGTCTGGACAACGACATGCGAAGGGAAGAAGCAACAAGAAAAAAAGAAAAGATATAGATCATACCAAATAAATAAGGCAAGAGAGGAGAGGCGGAGAAGGAAAATGAGGACATACGCATATAATAAGAATGATACACACAACTAATCCTTATCAATTAATCAAGTGACGATCATCACGAGAGAGAAAGAAAGAGTCAATAGCCGACCAGACTGTATTGGTTGAAAGTAGATTAACGGACGCGCGATCGAACGATTGCTTCGACGATTGCGTGTGAACAAGGAATAAGAGTACTGCAAACATTGAAGATTATATATTTACATATCGTCAAAATCATTTTTATTTTCTTTTTGTGTTTTTTTTTACAAAATTGATGAACATATTGTAATAAATATTGTTAAGATTAAAATCACAGTTTTTATTCCGTGTTGAACAAGCCTCCGGTCAATTTTTTACGCTGAGAGTAAATGAAGTGTTTGTGATTATAACACGCGCTAGCGAGGCAACAAACATATATGTATATTAAATGCGACAATAAAATAAAAAAAAAAAACATTCTCAATATAATGATTGGTATCAATCAATTGATAATTGTGTTGTTATATTTAATGGACCGAGTCATTTTCTTTTTTTTTTCTTCGCTCTTTATCAAAAATAATTATCTATATGGATGTGAAAACGCATATCATTTTTGTTACTTTAACACATCGTTATAGAGGTGAAGAACTCAAGGGACGTTTTATGAGTAAAAAAAAAAAACGAAGAGAAATAACAATGATTTTTCTTCTTCGTCATCTTTCATACTCGTTTGCATACATAATTCTTTCGCTTTTAATAATGACATGAAATATTGACAGACAGCAGCACTTTCACCTTTTTCTTTTTTTTATCGCTCATGCTATCTCTACTGTTGTGTATGCATATATTTGATTGCTCTTGTTTCTTCTTCGTTTGAATGATTTCGAGTAGCGCCGCCGATTACCACTTCGATTCGAAAAGAAAGGCAAACAAGCCAGTAGCAACATTGAATTCCTATAACGGTGAGAGAGAAAGAGAGCAAGACATTTTTTTTTACTATCCTTCTTTTTTTCGTGCTATCGTTTGTTCGCCGACTCATTTTTTTTTTCTCATAATTACAACAAGCCATCTTCCACTTGCTTGTCTTTTTCTTCTTCTTGTCTTTCTTCGTTTTGCTTTTCCGATTTGTGATCTAGAGCTTAAGCAGGAAGTCATCATCCATCTTTGTTTTACTAATTACTAGATAGTGATCGCATGTATATTAGTAGCAAAATAGAAGTCACGCTCTTTCTTTTTTTTTTCTATTTGACTAGATCAGAGATTGGTTCATCGTGTGAGAAAATTAGCACGAGTCTAATTTCTATTGGTTATTCAACGAAAAGAAAAACTCAAATTCAATATATGCAAAAAATGTGAATTTGATTGAATTATGCAAATGAATATCAGCGTGCAGCATCACGCCTTAAATGACTACTAAGTGGATATGAACGAAGAACACTTCAGATTAGTTTTAGTTTCGGCTTCTAACCTCATAAGCAGGTTGATCACGAGCAAAAAAAAAAGAAAATCAATTCAATATACATATATGTTCTTTTCGTTCTTCTTCTCGATTAGACTTATTTTAAAGTAAAATTCAATTTCTCACCAATCATAATTCAAAAAAGACAAGACATTTTAAGGCGTTTGTTTAACAATTTGAACCACTTGCCGCCTAAATTTTGTAATACTTATCCTTTTTCTATTCACCAAGTAAACATAATTGTTCATCATCATCATCATCATCGTCTTTCTTTTCACGATAAGACATGAAGAGAGATATCTATTTATTCAAGTCAACATCCTGTTCTCTATTGCAACTGATCATGACAGGTACACTCCAAATTTACGTGCAAATTTCCCATTCGTATGCTAATTCGATCTATACAGTCTAGTAAAGTCACGCCCCAAACAATTTTATTCATCATGTTAAGCTTTACTTTAAATTTATGGCGTCACAGACAACAAATGTATTTGAATAGAAGAAACATAGATCGTTTTTTTCTTACGAAGTTCATTCAAGCTGATAAATGATTAAACTTGAATAAGATAAGAAGAACAAGATCATATATGTATATATATACATAAATGAATCGGTCAAGTGAAAAGATAGAAACAACAATAACAAATCAAACCGAACATAAATATAGAGAGAAAGTGAAAAAGCACACGGCAGGTAGTATAAAATTTTAATAAATCTAGACACCAAAAAACAAAAATAGAGATTAGCAATATATAGTTGATATTAAAAACATGAGAGACACAAAAAAAAAAATGCAAAATAGTAGTGGGAAAATAAAAACAAAACAGATCGCGTGACATTCGAGAGTGAAACTGATAATAGAAGCTGCCACTGGCGGCAAAATGCCAGATTTGATAAAAAAGAAAATTGATCATCGCCTTTACTGTCATCATTATCATTTCACCACGGTGTCTCTCTATGTTGGACATTGTAACAAAAAAAAAAAAAACGAAAGATGGAACGTACGTGCGTGCGTGCGTGTATATATGCGCGTGTGTTAATGATAATCAAGTTTCTGGCAACGGATCCAGTGGTGCAACATGCAAACATAACACAACTCATTGTCATAAAGAAGAAACATAGATTAATCAAAAGTCGAAGAAAGCCGGATGTATATGATATGATGATGTAGTCAAGGTCTATTTTAGTACATAAAATACATCATTGAACAAACATATATATATGAATAATTTATATGCAAAATTTTAAGATAGAAAATAATTGACATCTTAAATTGAATTCATTTAATTAAAAATCTATTTTGTTCTGATTAATTAAATATATTTTTGTTTTTTTTTTGATATTTAAATTTTTATTGAAGAAATTTTTTCTTGTTGACTATTCATTGTTTAGAAAAATCTCTAATAAAAAATAAACAACTAATATTATGTTAATCATTATTATTTTCTCACGAATTTATTGAAACTATTCGTAATAAATTTACATTTCGATTATGTTCAATCAAGACGAAATATACACTTATTTCAATCGATTCATTTCATATTGATATGTTTTTATCTCTTGAATTTCGATATACAACATTCTTACTGTTCATATGAATAAGTAACAAAACAAAATGCTAGATAATTTTACGAGAAAGCATCTTTATTCTATTTCAAGACGATTGATTTTGAAAAATAAAAGATAATTAGAATTTAATTAAAACTTTTGATGCTGACACATATATTTTGCAGTACAATTATTTATTGATCTATATATTTATATTTCTAAAAATCGTACAAAATTTTTGTTTGAAAGATTTTTATATGAACTACTTGATCTACGTATGAAGTGCTCTGAAAAGTAAACAAAGCATTAAATAAGTTTTTTACTGATATAGAAGGTCACATTGACGTTAGATACTTTGCTAATTATCAATGATACTTCAAGCAACTTCATTGAAAATATGATAATAGACCTGCAGTATCAATTTGACGGTCATTAAATAAAAACTACAATTAATATAATTAGCTGTATTTTTGAAGTCTTTATTATTTTATGCGCAATTATTTAAACTCTCTGAAGAAGTAGAACGATAAATATTTTGTTGTTGAGTTTGTTATTGGTATATATTTTTTGATCTGATGAATGATCTATATTACATTTTTAGAAAAAAAAAGTATATGTGAAATGCGATATTTTCAGCTTGAATAAAGATTTCATATAAATTCTATGTATTTGAAAGTTATAAATTATCAAGAGTCCTAATCAAGCTATTGTTAATTTCTAACATGTAATTCATATTTTTACGAATTATATTGTTATTGTATTATTAAAATGAGTAAATCAAATCATAGTTTATGAGAAATTTTCTTATGATCACTGTATAATGAAAAGTTATTTTAAATGCTTAGAATTCATCACAAAAACAAAGAGCCATTTGTGACCTATTGATTATGTATTATCTTATATGTAATCTTTATTTTTTTTTTACAATGTTTTCATTTGATCAATGATTTCTTGTGTTAGATATAGTTTTGAATATTTCATTTTATGTCTGACTAAAAATAACGGACGATAATGTTATGTTTGAACTATTATTTATAAAAACTACAGAAATCTGAGTATAGAATCGTCACAACAGAAATCAAATTGAACATTAATTCTGGTATTTTTTGTTGACGTTTCTAAGTTTCAAAAAAGCGTAACAAAGCTCACAGGGCTCATGATTTATACATTTTTTCAAACAATCAACGTCCAGTACTTGACTGTTTTGAACCGAGTTATATACTAGAGTTTGTTAGTAATTCATGATTTTGCTTAACGAAAATT